TTTCAAAACTCAAGGTGTAAACTCTGTGTACTAGGGTTGAATGGAAAAGTCTGGATCTTTCTTTTCATACCCCTTTGTATTGTATAGTTTCCAGGCTTCTGCTCTTAACCTTTCTTTGTCTTTGCAGACCAAAGAGTCCTATTTTTTAACATCTCTTATAATAGCCGTGGGATGGTTTTAGCCGCCCTTCTCTGGATCTCCTCTCTCCTTTATGTCCCTGGAGATGCAGTCAGGGAACTATATACACAGTACTCTAGATTCAGCTGCATCACGGTTTTAGACAAGGGTATAATGTTTTTTGTTTTGTTTCCAAAAAGCCTTCATGATGGTTCCTGGCCAGATGCTATTGAGTTTTTTGGCAGTGGCCGCATATTAAGCCAATGTCTTCTGGGAACAATAGAGATGTACAACTCTCCTTTTTTTTTTTTTTTAGCTTATAACTGATTGCCCACAGCTATTATTCAATAAGTAAAGTTAGGTTACTTTTCACCAAAATGGAATATTGGCAATTTTATTGTCAGCTTACATGGCCTAGAATTTTCTTATACTTTACCACCTGGAAGGATTTGAGGGCATCCGTGAAGTCGGGCATTTCACCAGTGCACTCTTTCTTGCACAATTTCTGACAGAGATTAGTTCTGTCGTTTAACACTTGAGCATTTTTTCCACCTAAGGAAAATGCCTGTTTTCTGTGTGTTTCCTTTCCCTAATCCACTTCCCTTTCTCCTTCTCCTCACCCCTGTATCCACCCCACAAGTAACTTTGAATAACCTCTGATGTACAGCCTTGCCAGGAGCATTGTAACTTTCAAAGTTCTGGTCACTGGTTCCCCCATGTGCGGTAATAACCTATTTTGTCCCAGTTTGAAAGAACTCTCAGGGATTAATCAGACATGATTTGCTCTTGCTGGAAACATGCTGGTTTTCCTTTAGCAGCTTCTGCTTCCTAAAGTACTCACCAAGATGACTGCAATAGACAGAGCCTGGGGTTTGGAGCCAGGCAGGCCGAGGTATGGGTTCTCCATTTAAATTTAATAGCCTTGATGTGACCTTGGATGGGTTACTTAACCTCTTTTAGTTTCCATTACAAAAATGATGGAATTAACAGTATGCCCCTTAAAGCAGTCCTTTTCAAACATTAATGTGTATCTAGGTCACCTGGGGGGTCTTGGTCTGGTGCAGATTCTGATTTACTAGCTCTGGATTTTTTTTTCTTACATATACATGTGTTTATTAGGTTTCCACTTTTGCCTTCACAGAATTAAAAAGGCTTAAAATGTAATAACAATAACAATGTTTAACGTAAGAACTGAAAACAAAAACCTCATAAAGGACGAATGAAGATAAATATATTCAGAAAAGAAATCAGACGATTGCTCATCGAAATATTAAGCAATAATAATAATAATGCGGCTCGGCGCCTGTGGCTCAAGCAGCTAAGGCACCAGCCACATACACCTAAGGTGGCGGGTTCGAATCCCCAGCCCGGGCCCGCCAAACAACAATGA